GCCTGGAAAGCTTATGCCCAGGCTCTCCTCACTACCACCACTCCCTTCCTCTTTCCAGCACAGAGGTGTCCCTTACCTGGCACTGCTTATCCCCCTTACCTGCTTTATCTTTCTTCATGGCACATACACCAAAGATTGGTGTTCATCAGTTATTACTCTCCTCCATGAGCATCTCTCTTTTTATCAGTCAGGTTTAGGTACAGCTGCATATAACAGAAAACTCAAAGTAATATGTGACTTTAATAAAAGGTTATTTATTTATGTCACATGTAAAAGAAGTCTGAGGTAGGCAGTCCACGGCAGCTCTTCAATCATCAGGGACCTGGGCTCCTTCTCTCTTGCTAATACCATCCTTAGTTGCCAAGACGGTTGCTTGTGTTCCAAACTTCATATCCACTTTCCAGTCAATAGGAAAGAGAAAGGTGTGTTCCCTCCTACCTCTCGGCCTTACCTAACTACAAGCTATGGGAAATGTCTTCATTGCCGATGGCCATGGATCCAGATAAACATTACAGGTTCTACTATTTTACGGGTAGTTATAGATACCGGGGTGGACAATTGGTGATGTCTGCCACTCTAGGCTCTATCATGTTACTCTCCTTCTTGTTCCTCTTTTCATGCTTCACTCCTATTAGCAGAAGCCTGAGAGATAAAAAGGAATCTTGAAGAAGGGAAAATGTAGCATTTAAGTACAGAGGTAAAATTCTTTTTCCTACCTTTCAGTTCTTTATCCTTTCAATAACCATCCCCAAGAAGTACTAGGATGTGATGTACGGGCAAAAGAAAGGGGGTGGGGGGAAATTAGGAGACCTGTTTCTCAAGGTCACTGTGAAAGCCAAGTACTTACAAAGGGCTTTGAGATCCTGGCTTCATATGCTATGCTCAAAGTTTAGATGAGAATGTAAATCAATGAACTTTTTAAAATTGATAGCCAGAGGAAAAATACTTATTCAAAAGGAACAAGTACAGAGAAATTGGACAATGACCTTAATCAGTGATCAAAATTAATATCACCAAGGGGCAGAAGGACCCTGTGTGCCTTCCTACAGATATGATATCCTAGAGACACAGCTGAGGACTCAACAGCCAAATGAAGAAACACAAGGGAAATCCAGAATGAGGAATATTCTATTAAACAAAAGAGGGTGGTCCCCATACCAGTCAGCCACACATACGCACAAAAAATAAACAAAAGAGGGTGGGACTGTCAGTGTCTTAAAAAAAAAAGAAAGGCTGAGGAACTGTTCTAGATTAAAGGAGACAGAAGAGATACGTCCAAAAAATACAGTAAATTATTCTAAAGGATCCTGTACAGGAGAGGGGGAAAAAAATACTTCAAAGACATTGTTAGATCAATGGACAAAAATGAAATATAGTTGGTAGATTAATTATTGAGTCAAGGTTGTATTTCCTAAGCTTGATAACGGAACCATGATTGTGTCAGAGGATGTACTTAGTAAACACACATTGAAATCTTTATGTGAAGGGCATGATATAAATGATATAAGCAACTTACTCTCAAATGGTTCAGGAAAAAAAAACCTATATATACTCATATATACATATAGGGGGAGGAGAAATAAAGCAAATGGGGCGAAATGCTAACACCTAACAATAGGTTAATTTGACTAAAATGTAGATACATGTTCTTGTACAGTTCTTGCAACTTTAAGTATGAAATCCCCTCAAACCCCAAAGAGCAAGGACAATACAGAACATCTCAGATTATCTTATTCCTGCCCTTGTCTGAAAAACTATTCTAGATGCTGTATTTGATTCTGTGCCACAAAGTCTAACCCTTACATTCTCAGTTGGGAAGGAAAGAAATGTCTTCAATTAGTAAACACTAAGGTTTTCATGACAATGTACCAGGCAAGCCTTCAGGATGCTTCTGTCAGATAGAAAAATTGAAGGTAAGTCAGGTTTTTTTCTTCTGTTCACCAAATGCATTAGGAACCTAAAAGATATCATCTGACTGAAGCTATGTAACTGAGACACTTAATCATTGGTGGACTTTTTCCATACAGGATGACCAAATTAGCCTATGGCTCTGTGCAAGCATCAGACTTCTCATGCAGCTATGAATCAAGGGGACTAGCATTCTGACAAACCATTAAAAAGCCCTCGCAGTGAAAATGATGAGCGTTTGGACTCTAAGTGCACTCACAATGGTTTTGGATCTGCCCACAGAAAAGAAAGCAAGCATGTTATCCCACATGTACACCTAATTTCTTCAGTTCTTGATATATAGTAGTGTTCTTGTGTACACCTATACAAATACTCACACTACGGTTCACTCGTATTTTAGAATTAAAACCAGACGTCAGAAGGCATAAATCAATAGCAACAAATATGTTCTACTGTCTTCTTCACAGCCTCTTACAAAGAAAATATAATTATTCACTGTCATAGGGGTTGATACAAACACAAAAAGAACCTTTGTAGAACTATTTTTTCCTTCCTACTTATGTTCATTGTAGCTAAAGCTTGTTAAACTTTCAAATCATCCTACTGGTTTTCTGAAACTATGTAAAACATTTTCTTCAAAGACTAAAAATGTTTCTAGAATGGAGATTCAACCTTAAAAACACACTTTTGAAAAAGCTTCTTTAAGGGCCCGGCCCGTGGCTCACTCGGGAGAGTGTGGTGCTGATAATACCAAGGCCATGGGTTCGGATCCCATATAGGGATGGCTGGTTTGCTCACTGGCTGAGCGTGGTGCTGACAACACCAAGTCAAGGGTTAAGATCACCTTACCGGTCATCTTTTTTAAAAAAAAAAAGAAAAGGAAAGGAAAAGCTTCCTTTTAGGAAGACCTAGGTTGTTACTAAATACATGAGACTATTCTAAACAACAGATAGCTGTATCTGTGCGTACAAAAAAGGAATGCTTCTCGCTGAGCCTGACAGAGCCATCTAAATCGGAAACTTGCTGAGTCACATGTAAAGCTCAGTTGACAGGATTTCCCTTAGTAAACTCTTAAGTCTGCAGATTTTAATAACAATCTGAGCTATAAAAGTCAGACATAAAAACTATCAACTTCTGAGACATAAGTGCTTCTTAAAAAGATGTGACTGAATTAAGAAACTAAAAAGCAACAAGTAGTCCAGTAAAAGGCTCAGACTAGGAAGTTGATTCAGCTTCTACAAAGGCTGAGCATAAAGATCATCTCTTTATCAGAATCTCTATTTCTAACCAGTAAGGTGGGGGGGTGGGTTGTTTGTTTTTTCTTTTTTGGCTGGCATTATCAGCACCATGCTCTAACCAAATGAGCTAACCTGCCAACGCTAAGGTGGCTTATTTGCCTACCCCTCTTGAAGACATTTATGAGTTTCTAGGAAAAGAAGCAATACACATTTCCATTTCTAGCTACAAATCTTTTAAAAAATATAGACACACACGTAATTATATCCTTGAATAGAACAGATCCTAAGACAGAGCTTTCTAAACATGCCAGGAAGCAAAATCTAGCTTTTCTTAAGGGTTCAGATCCCCATACTAGCCAGCCACCCCCCCAAAAATCCTAGTGTTTCCAAAATGCAAATTTCCTAGGTTCCACCCTAGATCTAGTGAACCACAATCTGGAATCTTTATTTTGAAAAAGCCTCTGTGATTCTGATCATCAGCTAGGTTATAAATTGCTGGTTTAGGGCACCCTCTGCCATAACATCATTATAACAGTAACCTCAGTTGGCAAGCATATTTCACTTTGGTTGCTTTTTTAATAATTAGCTCTTCTCCCCTCATCCCTGTCCCCCAGTCCCCCATTTAACCTTCATGAGCAACCAAAATTAGCAGTTGCTTATCTGTCCTTGCAAAAATCTTTATGAATATACAGGCAACCATAGATTTTTCCTTTAAAAAAGGATAGCAGTGAGGGCCGGCCCGTGGCTCACTTGGGAGTGCGGTGCTGATAACACCAAGGCCCCGGGTTCGGATCCCATATAGGGATGGCCGGTTCGCTCACTGGGTGAGCGTGGTGCTGACAACACCAAGTCAAGGGTTAAGATCCCCTTACCAGTCATCTTTTAATAAAAAAAGAAAAGAAAAAACCAAGGTACAGAACTATGTGTATTTTGGAGCTCTTTTCCAAGGTAGAGAACAATGTGTACTTGGAGCTCTGCTCTTTTCCTATCACTACACAGAACTTCTTTATTCTGTTTTATTATGCATGGTGTATGCAACTTTGTGGATGTATCATACTTGAAAAAGACCACTCCCTTACCACTGGACATCTGTGTTATTTCCAGTCTTTTGGTGCAATACATGATCTCATACACGTCACTTTGTACATGTGCGAGTCTATCTGTAGGATAAATTCCTAGACATAGAAATGCTAGGACAAAGGATACAGATATTGTTAATTCTGATAGTGTCAAAATGCCTTTCCCAGATGTTAAAACAATTTTCACTCTCGCTTGCAATGTGAGTTTAAATTTTACACTGCACTGAATATGAGTAGTGTCAATGGCTTACTTTCTAGATGCTTCCTTGAAAATATATTACTTTTACAACCTGGTGATGTAACAAAATAGCATTCTAAATCTGCATAATTTTACCATTGCTTTAGAAAATTTTCAGACTATTTGCAGCCAAGAAAGAGAGCAGCTGAGAGAAAAGAGAAGCTGAGGTTAAGGCAATTCTTGCCATTCTTAGCTGACATGCACGCAACATGGAGTATTTTCCCCTACTTCAGCATAAAATACTTAGACTTTCCACTTACTACACAAGAGTGTTATGCATGTGAAAAATTAACCAATTGTGCTGTTTATTATTTTAACCAACAAAAGCTGTACAGGTATTAGATTTATGAAAGTCCTGCACAGCAAACTTTACTAAATAAAGGCAGGATGCCCAATGGAACCCATTCTACAGCTAAGGAAAAAGCATCTTAGGCATAGGACATGCTGAGAGAGAAGGAGCTAGCAAAACACAACTGGAATGTTTCATCTTCTTTATAATACATAAAGAATACAGAGGGGAGGAAGAAGCAAACACACTTTTAACTAAAAGTGTTTACAATTTTATTTTCACATTTCACAACACAAATGAAAACTGCACATTTTTTGTCCCACTTCTCCCCTCCAAAACTATTCTCTCTTTAATAGGAAAAGGGAGCAAGTCTTCCGTGCCATGCTGTTAGAGAACACCCATAGTCACAGCACCGTGATCTCCTGATGAAGTACAACAAGTAACATAAAACTGATATAAAGAAGCCTCCTCTCTATTCTTATCTGTCTGGTCGTGTCATTCCTGGCCGAGTGGGCACCATCATGGGACGGGCAGGAGGTCTCATCATTGGAGGACCAGGCATCATTGGCATGTGGCCTCCCATGGGTGGCCTCATTCCAGGAGCTGTAGGACAAAATAAAGAAAAGGAAAAAAAAGAGAGACAAAAAATACCATTTATAAGAGTTTGATAGGACTTCAATTAAAAACAAAAAAAAGTAGCCCTCCCCCCCCTGCAAAATGCTGGAAAAAAGACATACATGACAGAAGAAATGCAACAAATTCATCACATCTGTAAATTACTTAGACATTCTCAAACAAAAAACAAAAAGGTCAACACAAGAACCATGTAGGAATCATGATCTAATGATAGTAAGGGGGAAACTATTAATAGACCACTTTCCAGAAATCACCAGGGACACTAGTTCCCTAAACTGACCTTTTTTCTCACGCAGGGAAATTCACAACTAAGTCACATGTTAGTCAGTCAGCTCTTTTAATCATATATCCACCATATAACCAGGAGCTACTTCATGAATGTACACAGGCACAGAGGACAATCTTACCACTAAGCGTTTGTTCGGAGTTGTAGGAAAGGTGAGCAGGAGGCCCATGCTGAGAACCTGTTAGTAACCATACTTAGCTCAAGTCAAGAAAAATAATAGGCAATAATGTGATTTATAATAATTAGCACACACACAAAAATCTGATTTTTCTAATGCATTTTAGAAACTATTAATGAATTTCTTTAAGTGTCCCATAAATAAACCAGCCAAATAAATGAGCCAGGGAGGGGAAGACAAGCAGAGGGTAGGGAAGGAACACAGGGAGCTTCAATGGAATCGATAAGGTTCTACTTCCTCAACTGGGTGGTAGGTTCATGGATATTCATTTTATTATTGTGCCTCTTAATTTTCATGTTACATATATTCTTTTTAAATATCAATTTTTACCTAACTACTGTACTTATTTTTAAGTAATTTTTATTATAGGTCTACAGTAAATGGTTCAAGAGAAAAAGATATTCAAAGTTGAATATAGCCTTATCACAGAAACTGAAACACAAGTATATGCAAAGACACAAAGTCCAACAGATAAAGAATTTTTTAATAATCAATTTCAACAGGAACAGAGAGTAATACTAAACTTCTAAATGCCACATAAAAGCCCATGGTTAACATAACTTGCATTTAAACATTTCTTAGAGGAAACTAATCTAGCCCAAAGATTAAAAACTGGGCACCTGACAACTTGTTTTCCTTGCTCTCCATAGTGGATTTAATTTAGATTAGTTGCCAACATTGGGATTTCATATAGAAGTCTAGATTCTTTTTTTTTTTCCTTTTTATTATGGAAATATTCAAACATACACAAGAAAAGTAAAAAAATATATATAATGAACATCCATGTATCCATCATCCAGCTTCAACAATTATCTATGCATGACCAACTTTGTCTATTTATACCCCCCACCCATTCCTATCCCTGCCCAATCCCGAACTACTCAATTATTTTAACATAATTCCCACAATTTTATCATTTTTTTCTTGGCTTTAAAAGAAAAAAATTCAGGAGAACTGGCAACACCAAGCCTGCATTCTCAGATGTCAACCATAGGCTGAAGCTGAGTTCTGAAGCCTTTTTTAGATGGGTCTCACATTCCCCAGTACACCACATCCCTAGCACCTCTAAGAATTTGAATTTGTGACCCTGATTTAAGAATGTGAACACCATCAAAATCATTTCGATTGTGTTTTTGGTTCACACGCCAGTAGGTCAGTACCTCTCTTTATCAATACTCTCATCCCTCAACATGATACACGCATCAGGCATACTGAATACTTCTGGCTAGGAAGCTACTCTAATACTTTTGCACCTTGTCTTTCCAGTTGAGTTGTAGGCATCAGTCGCCTCTGTTCCCAAATCTGGTTATGTCAGTTGCATGTATTATTCTAATTACATAATTTAACTATTCGGCAAACCAATAAAATATGGGTGTGAAAAGAGAATTGTTTCTATAAAAACCAACTTAATACTTAGAAAGACTCAGGCTAGTCATCCCCCCAAAATGCTCACAAATTTGACAGTCAAAACAATCATAGATTCGAAATACAATGCATTACAAGTTCTCTAACCACTTCAAAGAAAATGAAGCTAAAGTTGGTAGAGGATGTATTATGATTATGATTTACTGGTTTATGAAAGAAAAATATGATGTTCCAATCAGTAGACTCACTTTCAAAGCAAAAGCCCTGCCCATGTAGCACAAAGATGTGCAAATTAATGTACGTACATTAAATTTACATTAAAATGTAAATGTACATTTAAATTAAAATAGAATGTTTGAGGTATATGTTTCTTTCTCTTCCTGAATAAAAAACTAACTACCAGACCGAAGGCCTTTTTCATACACTGATTCAGCCTTCTTAACCTTCAAGATTAAAACAGCTTAGGCTGGCCCATGGCTCACTTGGGAGAGCGCAGTGCTGATAACACCAAGGCCATGGGTTCGGATCCTATATAGGAATGGCTGGTTAAAAAAAAATACTGATTCAGCCTTCTTAACCTTCAAGATTAAAACAGCTTAGGCTGGCCCATGGCTCACTTGGGAGAGCGTGGTGCTGATAACACCAAGGCCATGGGTTCGGATCCTATATAGGAATGGCTGGTTAAAAAAAAAAAAGAAAAAAAAGAAGATTGAAACAGCCAGAGGTAAATCTGGTCCAAATCAAAACTGAGAAAATAGGGGCTGGCCAGTTAGCTCAGTTGGTTAGAGTGCAGCCTTGTAACACCACAGTCAAGGGTTCAGATCCCCATACAGACCAGCCACCAAAAACAAACAAACAAAAACAAAACAAAAAACTAAGAAAATATATCCACCCTTTCCCTTTCCCCGCAAATGGGACAAGTTCATCTACTCTTCTCTTCATTTTAAATGGCCAAAAGTCAGGATAAGGAAAGAAAACAAGGAGGAGGAAAAAGGAAAAAAACAGAGGCAGCCTTAATCCTGCTTTTAGTAACACAATGTCATTGGATACCATCCAATTATATTAACAAACCAAATATTTTTTCTTTATCATTAAAGATTAGCCAAATTTAACTTGTTGCAATAATACATTTAGATAACTAATTAAGAATTCCATTTATCTGAAGAACTAAAACACAATGGAGCATATTAGAAGGAAAGACATTCAAACTTACCAGGTCCCACTGGCATCATCCCAGGAGGAGGAGGGCCCATCATTGGCATCATGGGAGGGCCCCCCATATGGGGTGCTGGCATCATACCAGGGCGAGGAGGCCCCGCTGAAATAAAGAATGAAACCTATGGTTGAGGTATGCTTATAAATTTACATTTTCTCTTTTTAATGAAACTAATAGGGTCTCACGAACTGGTTCAAAACAATAAACCTCTTTTTTGTTGTTCTTTTTCTTTCTTTTTTCTCTTCTTGAAGCAATAGATCTCTTATGGTTTCCTTTTTATAACAGCAGTTCCACAAAAATCACATGCCACAAAACTTTAGTCACTTTAAAAAGCAAAAATAGGGCCAGCCTGTGGCTCACTCGGGAGAGTGTGGTGCTGATAACACCAAGGCCATGGGTTCGGATCCCATATAGGGATGGCCGGTTCGCTCACTGGCTGAGCATGGTGCTGACAACACCAAGTCAAGGGTTAAGATCCCCTTACCGGTCATCTTTTAAAAAAAAAAAAGCAAAAATAAGACCATCTAGACAGAAGTATAAAACGAAGCTGGCTGGTTAGCTCCATTGGTTAGAGCAAAGCCTCATAACACCAAGGTAAAAGGTTTGTAACCCCTGAACCAGCTAGCCACCAAGGGAGAAAAAAAAAGTATAAAATTAAGTCAGGTCCCCCAGGTGAAAAAAATTCTTTTCTATTTATTTATTTATTTTTGCACTCCCCAACCCCCAATCTCATCAAAAAAATTCTAATAGACTTTAATTTTTATTTTTTATTTTTATTTATTTATTTTTTTAAAAGATGACCGGTAAGGGGATCTTAACCCTTGACTTGGTGTTGTCAGCACCATGTCCGGCAACGGATCGCAACCCTCGGTGTTGCTCCCACACCTCGCTCAGCCAGTGAGTGGGAACCGGTCTGTATGTGGGATCCGAACCCTCGGCGGGAGCGCCGCCGCGCTCCCAAGCGGCGCACTGTAGCATTGCGCCACCAGGCCGGCACTAGACTTTAATTTTTAAAAAGAGGGGGAAAGGGTGCCAGCCCGTGGCTCACTTGGGAGAGTGTGGTGCTGATAACACCAAGGTCACGTGTTCGGATCCCATATAGGGATGGCCAATTAGCTCACTGGGTGAGCACGGTGCTGACAACACCAAGTCAAGGGTTAAGATCCCCTTACTGGTCATCTAAAAAATAAATAAATAAATAAATAAGAGGGGGAAAGGGGAAGGAGGTTGTACCTTGTACAGAGTCCCTCACCAGCCAGCACCCAGATCCTTTTTAGAAAAATGAAAACCTGGGTTTACAAGATTCTTTGGGGGCTAATCAGTTAGCTCGCTTGGTTAGAGCACAGTGTTTATTACATCAAGGTCAAGAGTTCAGATCCCTATACCAGTCAACCACCAAAAGTAATAATAAAATAAAAAATTCTTTGGAAATACAAAAACTTAAATACACGGATACTCCTGATATTATCATTTATAACAGCAAAAATTTGGAACAACTTAAATATCCAAAAATAAAAAATGCTGAGGTAAATTATGGTATATTTATACCATAGACTATTCTGCTATTAAAAATAAGGGGCTGGCCAGTTAGCTCAGTTGATTACAGCAGTGTTGTAACACCAAAGTCAAGGGTTCTGAGCCAAAGAACTTATGACCTAGTACTCAATCTCCTCCCATGTGCCATGCAGAAACAATAAACCTTCTCAGAGGAGAGAAGCCCATGATCCATTCCACTCCCAACTATCCAATTCTTATCTTTCACAAGGGGTATGTATGTGTGTGTATATGTTGGTGTCAGGTGGATTAGAAAATAGGTGGAAAGACTGAGAAGTGTATCAGCTATTTCAGTCCTCCAGTGTTGTGTTCATAGCAGTAAATAATTTAATGTACTTAGCATCATCTATTCATGTGTTAACTCATCTAATCACAGGTTCATTCTCAGCTTTCCATTTGAATCTGACTCAGACCCACACTTAGGATGCCACAAATATAACTATGTAATCAAAACTTAACTCTAGGGCTGGCCAGTTACTTCAGTTGGTTACAGCACAGTATTATAACACCAAGGTCAAGGGTTTGGACCCCCATACTGGCCAGCAACCAAAGGGAAATAAAAAACTTAACTCTACAGTTTTTTGATACCACTAAAAACTTATACCACTAAAGGGTTTTTTATTACTATCTATGTATTCATTCAACAAGCAACTGAAAGCCAACTCTGAGATAACCTAACATAATCAAAGGATAATCTGCCCAGTTACACCCCTTAAGATAAAAACTTTAAACTCACGGAGACTGGGAGGAGGTGGGATCATTGCCCCTGCAGGAGGAGGAGCAGAAAATGGAGTAGGAGGTATCTTTCCTTGTTGAAATGCAGCCGCTTTGGAGAGAGAGAAAAAACAAAAATGAATGAGAATTCAATAACCCATTTACTAAAATAACCACTTTCATTTAAACCTTTAATGGTCCAATTACTTTGCTCAAGCATGTACTCATCTAAAGTTACTATATCATGGCTCTACAGTTTCTAAATCAATTATAGGTCTTCACCAGCTAAAAATGAAATTATTGGTTCACTGATTCAGGTTTTTTAAGCAATTTTTAGTTAGCGCTTCAATGGCTAAATTAACTATGAGAGATTGGAGAGAAATTTCCTACCTATCAATGTCTTTTACTAAAGAGAAGCAGTCATCTTTAATCTGTAGATGTGGTTTATAATTGATTCAAGCCATTTATAGTTTTATTTGAAAAATATCCAATACATGCCCAAAGGCCAGGCTTTTTAAAATTTTTATCCTTCCTATATATGCTATTCTGGGTCAAACCATACCATTTTAGTTTACCAGTTTTGAAGTTAATGCACTGAGCTAGGAGATGTGGAAGAAACAAAGATTTCAAAGTAATAATCTGCCCTGAGAGAGATTATGATCTTAAAAAAGTCTAAGACAATCAACTTTTAACTTTTTTTTTTAGATAAAGCACAAGTGAAAAAAAGAAACTGAAGATCATCTATATTTGGTTTTAGAAAGGAGACAAACAAATACTAAAATAGACACTCACAGAGTCTGTTCCTGACCTAATCTCTTCCCAACTCAGTACTGTCTGCTGAGCATCCCACTCCATCTACCCCACCAGTTCAAATGAGGTCAAGTTACTCACATCAATCACTGAGTCTGTTCCTGACCTAATCTCTTCCCAACTCAGTACTGTCTGCAGAGCATCCCACTCCATCTACCCCACCAGTTCAAATGAGGTCAAGTTACTCACATCAATCACTGACAATTTATGGTAACAAGATCCAAAAAAAAGACCTAAAGTGAAGATTGTGAACAGCTATTCATATTCCTCTGAATAAATGCTGTACTCTATAAGGAATTCTCTCAATAAGGGATTTTCCAATCAAAAAGCACCTCCCACACCCTGTGCAGGAGAACAGTTTATAAGACTAAGAGGGAGAAGCTAAGCTGCTGGCTCAGTAGCAGACTCAATGTCAACATAATCATAGACATCATGAGGTATGTCCCTGAGGGCTTGCCTCCTCTCATCCAAAAGTCCTCCATTAAAAATGTTCACTCATTTTAAATTCTTTTGCTGCATATGAAACATAACTAGCGAATATACTGCTAAGCTTTTAATGCCAAGAAATTCCTAAGATTTTTTCAAATAATAAAAAAAAAACTTACATCATAATTTATTTTTCTCAAATGAAATGTGACAATGTCTGAGATTTATTCCATAATATCCAGGAGGGAAAAGGAGAGTAGAGGAAGGTATAGTGGCTGTCAGCCAGGGGCAATCCCCCTCCCCCTCCACAGGGGACATAAGGCAATGCATGGAGACATTTTAAGTCACAACTGGGGGTTGGTATGCTGCTTAACATTCTACAATGTATGGGCCGACCGTGTGGCTCACTTGGGAGAGTGCGGTGTTGGGAGCACAGCGGCACTCCCGCCGCAGGTTCGGATCCTATATAGGGATGGCCGGTGCGCTCACTGGCTGAGCGCGGTACGGACGACACCAAGCCAAGGGTTGCGATCCCCTTACCCGTCACACACACACACACACACACACACACACACACACACACACACACACACACACACACACACACTATCAGACACAAAAACAAATTTCCAAAACTAGAAATTTTATAAAGCTTTATCTTTATATAGGTAGCCTGGCTTGCTTTAGCTGGCTGTTAAAGCATCACCTATAAACATTATTCAGCAACATACTTTGTTAATTTATTTACTATATTTATTATCTAGACTGGGGTCAGCAAAATATGGCCCATAGGCCAGCCACCTATTTTTGTAAAAAAAAAAGAAAAAAAAAAAAGTACTGAAACGCAGCCACAGTCATTCATTTATATATTGTCAATGGCAGAGTTGAGTAATGTAGGCAAAGACTGTGTGTTCACAAACCTAAAATAATTACAATCTAGCACTTTAAGAAAAAGTTTACAAACCCCTGATCTAGACCATGATGTCATTTTAATGCCCTATCTTAGATTATTCCATGGCAAAATAATATAGCTTATACATTTAAATAACACTGCCTGTGAGAATATATTCTTTTAAATGACTATGGGTCTAGAGTATATACTCTATACAAATCACCTACAGATTTTTGTCTCCATCCTACCAATCCTTTTGTTCTTTAACAGTTTTATTAAGGTATAATTGGCATACAATAAACTCCAAATTTAACCTTTATTTTTTTTAAGTTACCATTTACTGAACACTTACTACATGCCAGGCACTATGCTATGTACTTACCAAGCAGTCTCAATTATTCTTCGTAAAAATCACATGTGCATGGTACAATGTTCTTGCCCCCCACTCCCACCCCTTTTTTTTTTGGTGGCTGGCCAGTACAGGGATCAAAACCCTTGACCTTGGTGTTATCAGCACCATGCTGTAACCAACTGAACTAATCAGCCAGCCCTGTGCAACTCAGAAAGCAAAAACCACTGATATATGCAGCATGACAAATGAATCTCAAAAATATACTGGGCTAGCTGGTTAGCTCAGCTGGTTAGAGCACAGTGGTATAACACCAAAGAGTATATACTGCAAGGTTCCATTCATAAGAAGTTTAAAAACCAGTAATACTAATCTTTAGTAATAAAAACCAGATCAGATGAGGCCAGGAGAGGTGCAGGGGACAAACAGCAAAGGAGCACAGGGAACTTTCTGGGGTGATGGAAATATTCTGTATCTTGATGTACATATACATCAAGTTGTACTCATTTGACAAGTCATCAAACTGTACCCTTAAAATGTGTGCATTTAGGCCGGACTGTGGCTCACTCGGTAGAGTGCGGTGCTGATAACACCAAGGCCACGGGTTCGGATCCTATATAGGGATGGCCGGTTGGCTCACTGGCTGAGCGTGGTGCTGACAACACCAAGCCAAGGGTTGAGATCCCCTTACTGGTCATCTTTCTAAAAAAAAAATGTGTGCATTTAACTGAATGTAAATTATAATTCAATAAAATTGGTGAAAAAAATCACAAAGTTGTTATCTTCTATTTACACTTAAATTACATTTTAACTCAAAACACATAGCTGAAAGTGATAAGCCAAGGCCTGGAATCCAGATCTCATTCAGACACTCCTCACAGCTGCCCAACTACCTCACTACTGGTACACTCGTTCACTGTTCACATGACTGCTTCAGTGGCAGCAGATATGACTAATGTCAATTGAGCAGATATTGTCTTTTCAGAGTCCGCATTTCAAAATATTGCTCCCTGCCTCCCAAACCACTGCTTAGACTAACACAACAATGATATGTTAAGCCTAATAATAAAATCATGACCAAGAACCAAGCAAAGCCCAAAAGTTGTACCACCAAATGTTTTATACATTCCAAAGACTACTACAGGGAACTGCTACAATCGTCTTGAAATTTTCTATTCTTTCAAGATACCATTTTAGAATGACAATATTTATTACAAGTTTCCTGACATTTCTCATAATCCAATTCACAGAGAATTCACAAAGAGATTCAATTCTCTGAATTCTGGCATTAGCAAAATGATTGGGTATATAAAAATATAACGCCAAAAACCTGTAGAAAGACATAGGTCCCGTGGTAACAATTTCGGAAAATTACGGCTAGTGACTTTACTGAGACAGGGGGTTAAGGATCAAAAAAAAAAAAAAAAAAGGAAAGCCTGGCTGGTTAGCTCGGTTGGTTAGCCAGCCACCAAAAAAAAAAAAAAAAAAAAAAAGACTGGAGATCTACAGGCAAGGACTCACTAGTTACTAATAACACCACCAGCTCATTGGAGATTGAAGGAATCTCCTCCAGGACAATCTATTATAATATTCAGAACTATTATTTTTTCAAGGGGAACCACTCTATTTACATGTTCCACATATCTATTAATGTTGAACTACATCTAACCATGAGTTAGAAAGAATTCCAAATGAAGTGACAACAAGGAAATTATTGGCTAGTTTCTTACAGCTACTGTCCCTGATGATAAAGAGTTCTGATTTAGTCAGACTTCTGCAAAGTATACAGCTGCCATTCTTAAGGTATAGTTTACAGACAGCTACCTAAAGGGTATTCAGGGGTCTCAGATCTGCAAGGTCAAAGTGTTTTCATAGTAATACTAAGACATTACTTTCCCTTTTTCACTGTATTGACATTTACACTGATGATGCCAAACTCCTGGCACTTTAAAATAAATCAAGGTAGTGGCATCCTAATGTATTAGTGATCACTGTATCCTTCAATGTCATGCACTCACAGAAGGAAAAAAAAAGCCAGTTTCACTAACACTATCCTCAATGAAATAGTAAAGTTATTAATTTTGTTAAATCTCAACCCTTGAGTTCATATCTTTCTAATATTCTGGGTGACAAAATGGAAAGAATGAAAGCACTTCTGCTGCATGTCAAAATATGATGCTATTTCAAGGAAAAGCAGGCATACAATTATTCAAGCTGTGAGCTTCTTTGATAGAACACCGTTTTTATTTGAAAAATGAATGAGAAACAAACTAGATATCCAGACTTCTCAAAAGTGAAATGAATAAAGTGAGTTTATCACTTCAAGGAAAGCAATTGATAGTATTTGTTGCCAATAAGATTTGAGCTTCAAGCAAAATTCTAGAAAATCTCATCTCCCACCATAAGCTTGATAGCTTCCCAATACTTAATGCCAGTTCTGATTAGACTGTGACATTAATGAATGTGAATTTTAAGATTATATGATCAAATGTGTCTACTCTTGAAAACCTGTATAACTCAGTGAACCAATATTTTCCAAATGACCAATGCATATTAGAAAATCATGCATGGTAAAGGGCTGGCCGCTCAGATGGTTAGAGTTCAGTGTTATAACACTAAAGTCAAGGGTTCGAATCCCCATACCTGCCAACTGCAAAAATGTTACATGTTACATTATACGTAAAAATCATTATCGTTACGTGTGCATGTGTGTGTGTGTTTTGATCTTTTCCTTTTTTTAAATATCTTTTTGGGTATTTTAGTTTGTTTTTTTATTTTCTTTTTTTTAATCATTGTTACTTTTAGATGAATTAATAAATATTTCTTAAATTTTAAACTTTAATTTCTTTTTTTTCTTTTGGTGGCTGGCCAGTATGGGGATATGAACCCATGACATTGGTGTTATAAGGCTGTGCTCTAACCAGCTAAGCTAACCATCCAGCCATAACTTTTAATTTCTTTTTTTTTTTTTTTTTCCCTTTTTGTCTTTTTTCGTGTCCAGCAACGGATCGCAACCCTCAAAACAAAATATGGGTGAAACATTTAGAACACTGCCTGATACAATAAACCATTCAATCTTTTTTTTTTTCTTTTTTGTCTTTTTTACTGACCAGCAACGGGATCGCAACCCTCGGTGTTGCGTCCGCACCGTGCTCAACCAGTGAGCGGGAACCGGTCTCCACATGGGATCCGAACCCTCGGCGGGAGCGCCGCTCTCCAGTGCGCCACCTGGCCGGCCCAACCATTCAATCTTAATTGCTATTATTTGTTAAGCAGTTTTTAATCAAATCACAGTACTCGGTTTCAAATCAAGGTATTTTAGTCAGTCAAACATTTGAGTAACTTGGGCCAGCCTGTGGCTCACTCGGGAGAGTGTGGTGCTGATAACACCAAGGCCACGGGTTCGGATCCTATATAGGGATGGCCGGTTAGCTCACTGGCTGAGCGTGGTGCTGACAACACCAAGTCAAGGGTTAAGATCCCCTTACCGGTCATCTTCTAAAAAACAAACAAACAAACAAACAAACAAAACATTTGAGTAACTTAACACAACCAAGAATTTGGGCTTTAAAAACACTTTCCTGGAATTTTTTTTTCTTTTCTTTCTTTTTTTTTTTAAAGATGACCGGTAAGGGGATCTTAACCCTTGACTTGGTGTTGTCAGCACCACGCTCAGCCAGTGAGCTAACCGGCCATCCCTATATAGGATCCGAACCCGTGGCCTTGGTGTTATCAGCACCGCGCTCTCCCGAGTGAGCCACAGGCTGGCCCTTCTTTTTTCTTTTAATTTTTGTTTTCTCCTGGAATTTTTAACTTAAGTAATTTTCTTTCACCTTTAAACTTGCTAAAGCTTTATTATTTTGGGTCTCCAATAAAAACAATGCCAGAAGACCAATTCTTCCAAATATCCTCAAATTATGAAGACATTTGCAGAAAGGGTGAAAAATAAACACCCCCAATTATTTTATCCAAACAGTAGGCCTTAAAGCAGGCAGAAAAGCATAAACTTGCAACCTAAAAAGAGTCTTATTTAATTACACATAAGGCTTTTTGAAGCTGAAAAGATACGCCACTTACAGAGTCATGGGTGAGGTATGTATCGCAGTAGTCACAATAAAACCTGAAAAGAGTTGGAAGGAAGAGAAAAGATGACAACCAGTTAAGAAACGTCCATCCACGGAAGCGCTGTAAAAACAAACAAAAAATCCAACCAACTCACGATTCGAACGGGTCAAAGTGTCCTGACATAAACCAAGTTTTTTGTAGTCGCCTTAAGCAGGGTCGGCCTCCACACGCCCGGTCTGTCTCCCTCCCCCATTGCCCCCAGATCCTCTCCTTTCCCTCCAGACTTCAAGGACTAGAACCCGCTCTCCGCTCCCCCACGGGACCACAACTAGTGACAGCGACCACCCTCAGATTTCAGGCCCCCACTCACTTGGGCATGTTGCTCTGCAGGCCGTTGTCCACTCCGTTCTGCGCCGCCAGGAAATGACACACACAATAAGCGCGACGCCGCGGAACTGACGAGCTAACCGCGACGAAATCAGAAGCCCCAGAGGGAGAGGCGGGGCTTTTCCTCTTCTTCCTCTCTCCTATAGGAGGGCGGAGGGGAGGATTAAGGGTCCCTACGAGGTTCAAAACACGCTCATTTAATCTTGATTCTTGATGCTTCCGGAAGCGCGTTATTCATTCTTTAGCCAAATATCTAATGATACCTGATGTGTGCCGGGCGCTGCTGTAAATACTGAGAAAACAGCAGTGAAGAAAACAGACAAAAATCCTTGTCATGAAGTTGACGTTCTAGTGGGGTTAAAACATGATAAAATCAATATGTAGTAGCTCAGATGGAGCAAAGAGCTATGCGGGGGCAATGAAGCAGGGAAAATGGGCGTTACACTTTAAAGAATACAGAGAAAGCTTGCTGAAAAGGTGACAACTCAGAAATGATAGGTTTCTTAAAGCAATAAAGCCAAGCCAACTGCAAGCCGCTTCACATATCGTGTCCTCCGTCCCCCCTCCTCCCCCCCCTCCACACACACACTATTAAAATTTCCTGTCTTTTGAGTCTCATTAACCTCAGGAGTTAGTAGAATCCCCAGTTTCAAATTCCATCTCCTTGCTTCCCAGCTGTTCTACTTGAGAAAATTATTTAATCTTTCTGATCCTCAGTTTCCTCACCTGAAAAGTATGGGTAATAATTCTTATTTGTGGGATTTAAGGAAGAATTAAATGTGAAAATGCTTGTAAAGTGTTTAGTGCAACGTCTGTAGATACTAAGCTCTCCAGAAATAGTAGTTATTACTTAGGGATAAATTGATAGAAGTACGCTGTCCACAGATAAAACCCCTTCTAGCAACAATGTCAGACTTCCACCCTGTGATCTATCAGACTCCAAAATGGCCAGCCTTTTTATTTTAGAAAACGGAAATAAGTGTTAGGAACTGAGGAGGGGGAGATTTTTCGTTCTTCTGCCCAACATTCTCTGATCATGGAGTTGGAACAAAATAATAATAATAATTGCTACTTCCTTTGAATGTTTACTATGTCCTAGGCACTTTAAATTCATTAATTTATTTAGGGCAGGTCAGTGGCTCACTTGGGAGAGCGTGGTGCTGACAACACCAAGTCAAGGGTTAAGATCCCCTTACCGGTCATCTTTTTAAAAAAAATTTGAAAATAAATAATAAATAAATTCATTAATTTATTTAGGGCAGGTCAGTGGCTCACTTGGGAGAGCGTGGTGCTGACAACACCAAGTCAAGGGTTAAGATCCCCTTACCGGTCATCTTTTTAAAAAAAATTTGAAAATAAATAATAAATAAATTCATTAATTTATTTAATTCATTCAACAACCCTAATTTATTCACCTTTCAGATGAGGAAACTGAACTTTAATAAGGTTAAGTAACAAAGATTACATCCTGGTCCTAAGAGAAAAGTTAACTGTGCGATGAAGTTATCAGGTTCTTACCACCCTAATAGTAGGTGGTAAATCTTAGCATTATTTTTTATTATTATTTTTATTTTTAAAGATGACTGGTAAGGGGATCTTAAACCTTGACTTGGTGTTGTCATCACCACGCTCACCCAGTGAGCTAACCGGCCATCCCTATATGGGATCCGAACCCATGGCCTTGGTGTTATCAGCACCACATTCTCCCAAATGAGCCACGGGCCAGCCCTAAATTTTAGCATTATTAATGACTTAGACACAAACAGATATTATGAGGTGCCAGCATTAAATAGACATTATCAGCTGTGATATATTCTTTTTTTTTTGGTGGTTGGTTGGTACAGGGATCTGAATGTGGGGCCTTGGTATTACAAGGCTGTGCTCTAACCAACTGAGCTAACCAGCCAGCCTTGTGATATATTCTTACTAAAAATATTTAACTTGGATCTAATTAAGCTTACATGATAGGCTAGAGGATCAAGCTAGAGGAAAACAAAAGGTAGCAAACAAATTCAGAAGGTGGGACATTGTATAGGACAACTGGCTTCTTTCCCTCACCAAATCAAGAAAAGGTGTTCTAGACTAGAATTTTTTTTTTTCCTTTTTGTCTTTTTTCGTGACCGGCAACGGATTGCAACCCTCAGTGTCGCGCCCGTACCAGACCAGGACCGGCAACGGGATCGCAACCCTCGATGTTGCACCCGCACCTCGCTCAGCCAGTGAGTGGCCGGTCTGTATGTGGGATCCGAACCCTCGGTGGGAGCGTCGCCGCACTCCCAAGCAGCTCACTGTAGCAGTGCGCCACCAGGCCGGCCCTAGACTAGAATATTTTTAAGAGACATAACACCCAGATGTAGTGTATGGTCCAGAGTTAGATCCTAGTTTAGACAAACCAGCTATAAATAACATTTTGGAGAAAATGTCTGGACCTCAATGTTACAGCTCTGGAAACCCTTTGTCCAGGCACCCCAAGCTGATTTTCCTCAAGATGATGAATTCATCACTATGTTTTGACATTTTCCTGATTTCTCTCTGTGCTGAACCTGGCCTGTTTTGCCTTTAAGTTTATTCTTCACCTTTCCCCTGTTCTTTTTAGGATGGCAGTGGAGGACTGACTCCATGAAGGCTACATGGCCTGGGCTCCTGTGCGGGTTGGCTTCCAGGTTGAATTGCTGGACTCCATCAATAGGATGCATTTGCTGGAGATTGGAGGGGTAAAAAAAAAAAAAAAAAAAAAGCCAGAGTAACCCGTACCACCAGCCCACCCCCAAGGTGTAGTATCTATCCTACTCCAACCTTCAAAATCGGGCTGTGTCCTCTGACCTACCTAGCAAACTACCAACTTCTAGCAAATGATCCTAGCCCCTGGCCTCTGGTAACACCATGTCCTCCTTCTGTTCTTCCACTGTAATGGGTGACAGCAGCTTCTGGCTATCATTCAGCTTTGGGCTATTTCACTATTCTGTTTGGCTCTTTATCTCTACCAACATCTATATAAACCAATTCTCTGGATTAAATTCCCTCTGTTTTAAATACTTAGCGTGGTTTCTGTATTCCAGGTTGGATTCTGACTACATACGAGAATTCTCACATCCACATTCCAAAGGGTATCTCCCCCATGATCTGCCCATGGGCCTTATTATCTTTTGTTTTTGTTTTATTTATTTTATTTTTTTTTCTCTCTTTTTTTGTCTTTTTTCCGTGTCCGGCAACGGATCGCAACCCTCAGTGTTGCCCCTGTACCGGACCAGGGACCGGCAACGGGACTGCAAGCCTCGGTGTTGCTCCCGCACCTCGCTCAGCCAGCGAGCGGGAACCGGTCTGTATGTGGGGTCTGAACCCTCGGGCGGGAGCGCCGCCGCGCTTCCCAAGCGGCGCACTATCCAGTGCGCCACCGGGCCGGCCCCTGTTTTATTTTGTTTTATTTTGTTTTGGTGATTGGCTGGTATAGGGATCTGAACCCTTGTCCTTGGTGTTACAGAAAGCTCTAATCAACTAAGCTAACCAGACAGCCCCCCTATTTTTTAAAATAGTGTTTTCACACTTTTCCTTTGAGTGTCCCAGGCAACTGAAAGAGTTTGTTACCCTCATTCTCCTAGGTCTAGGATCAAAATTCCAAGTGTCCACCTGAGCTTGAAATGCCTTTGATCTCCTGCGTGGTATCTTAAAAACCCACAATGTTTATAATCTACTCCATAACACATCTATGTTTTTCAGTTTTTCTCAAGGTATTTTACACTTAAAATGGATTCTATTTATTTTTGAATAAGTAGTACATACACATGGCACAAAATTAGAAAAGAACAAAAGAGTGTGTTCCCCAGCTTCACTCTTGTTCCCGGTTTCTTGCATATTCTTAGAGATAGATTACATATACATAAACAAAAACATGTTTCCTGGTTCTTTTTTTAATGGCTGGCTGGCACAGGGATTGAACCCTGGACCTTGGTGTCATCAGCACCACACTAACCAACTGATCTAACCAGCCAGGCCTCCTGGTTCTATTTTCCAGATGTGTAATTGTATTAGTCCATTTCTGTTGCTTATAACAGAAATACCTGAAACTGGGTAATTTATAAAGAAACAGAATTTATTTCCTAAAGTTTTGGAGGCTGGAAAGCCCAAGGTTGAGGGGGTGCATCTGGTGAGGGCCTTCTTCCTGGTGGGGACTCTGGAGAGTCTGTTGGCAAAGCAGGGTATCACATGTTGGGGAGGGGGAAGAGCACCCTAACATGCTCCTTTCTCTCCTCATTATAACACCAAGGCCAAAGATTTGGATCCCCATAATGGCCAGCCACCAAAAAAAGAAAAAAGCCACCAGTCTGCTCCCATGATAACACATTCATCCATTAACCCATTAATCTGTGGATGGATTAATCCATTCATATGTGCATAGTCCTTATGATCCAATCATCTCTTAAAGGCCTCACCTTTCAAATATCATAGTCAGATTTCCTATCCTCTTACTGTTACAATGGGGATCAAGCTTTAATATGAGTTGAGGGGAAACATTCAAATTATAGCAATGCTATAGTGCATAGTTAATTCACACACACACAAAAATGTTTACATGATAAAGTTCTAGAAGTGAAATTGCTGGGTTGAAGAGCTTTGCATTTGTAATTTTGAAAAATACCACACTAATTGCCCTCCGTTGTGGTTGTATTTGAAAGTGCTTTTTTATCTTTTCAGTTTGATAGGTTAAAAATGGTATTGTATTATAATTTTAATTTTTGTTTTTCTTATGAATAAAGTTGAGCATGTTTTCATATGTTTGAGAACATTAAAAAGGGGGCTGGCAGGTTAGCTCACTTCGTTAGAGAACAGTGCTGACAACACCAGGGTCCAGGGTTTGATCCATGTAGTGGCCAGCCACAAAGAAAAATTTTTTAAGAGAGTCTATAGAGCCTTCTATGTAGACTGTCTTTTCATATCCTTGACTACTATATTTTTTAATTCTCTCACATTTTTTTCTAATTATTTTACTATTTCTTTTTATTTTTTTTAAAGATGACTGGTAAGGGGATCTTAACCCTTGACTTGGTGTTGTCAGCACCACGCTCTCCCAAGTGAGCTAACTGGCCATCCCTATATAGGGATCCAAACCCTTGGCCTTGGTGTTATCAGCACCACA